GTTTATTCACTTTGGAAGTTTCACATATACACGTTAATTATTAACAACATAATTCTTCGTTTCTTTTTTTATATCTCTCAATTTATTTTTTATCCTTTCCTTCATTACTTGGATAATATAAATATAAGACAGTCAATGAAAAATTCTACCTTCTATAACATAATTATAATGTAAACAATAAACTAACTCTTTCTCTTTATTTATAACTTCTAATTCTTCTTAAGTTTTTACTTCATCATCACTTTCCCAATCGCTATTACAGACTTTCTTCCTTTTCTTATTTGGAGGTCCAGGTGGTTCAACAGCTGGTTGTGAGCTTTATTTTGGATCAGTTAAGTGGTCATGATCTGATTTGCCCTTACCACTAAACTTTTTATTTAATATCACAGATTCTTCTTCATCTTTTTCTGCTTTTTCACCAAATGATAGAAGATTGAAATCTCTGTAACAAAATTTTTCATTGCAAAGAACAATACTATCAGGGCTAAATTCTCCAAACATATATGCTTTTTACTTTACTGCTGCTGTTTTAGTTTTTTAACTGTCCTTTACTTCTTCACCTTCCTGTACTATTATTCTTGGTATAATATTAGAAAATGGATTGTTCAATATTATAAATTTTTACAATCTTGGAGGATACAGTAGTTTATCATTCTACAAAAAAGAGGAAATATAATATTTATACCATTCTTTGACACATTTTGTTACAAACATTAAATTTACCACATCTACAGGTGCTTTTTCAAGTTTAAGCATGTTATATATAGTTTCTCCAGTAACCTTACCAAAGATTGTATGTATATTCTGCAAATCTGGTGTAGAACTAAGAGTAAGGAAGAATTGGGAACTACTGTCATCTTTTCCAGCATTAGCCATAGCAATTAAATCTCGTCGACAAAAACGTAATCTTGTATGAAAGTCGTCCTAAAACACATATATCCAATAACTATTTTTGAATAAGAAAGGAATTCATTTAATTTTTAAATATAGTCTCACTTTAAATGGTTCTCCATATATTTTACCACCTTCTCCTGTACCTGTGGGATCACCATCTTGTGTTATGAATCCTTTGATAATTCTATCAAATAAAGTGTCATCCCAATAACCTTCCACGCATCATTGTATGAAATTTCTACATGCCTTTGGAGTTTCTTTTGCCCATAATTCTAAATCAACATCACCAACAGTTGTTTTCATTCCAACCTAGTTATAACAAATATATTAGATTGATTAATTTAAAATACCTTTAAAATCAAATTTATTAAAATTTATTATTTGTTATTGTAATTCAAATTAGAAATTATTTAATAAATTAATATAGAAATTTAGAAAGTAAATATTGTATATCGGTTAAATTTTTAAAAACAGATATACAATGCACTGAAATATTATAAAATGATACTTATTACTTTACCCTTAGTGGCTGGCTCTTGCATATAAATATTACTCATGTTTGTAAGTCTCCTATAATAGAAAAAATCCTTCGTCAATTATATTTCATATTGAATCTTTAGTTATTTATAAATCAGTCAACCAAATGGTTCTTTTCTCGAATAATCATACGCTTTACCTCCTTTTGACATTGTCTCTATTGGCCCAATGAAGTCCATGATATGCCACAACACCGTTATAATTGCTTCTTTTATAGTTTCCAAGTCCCTATAGATATTATTAAACATGTTTGCCTTAATGCAACATTTACACTCTATATTCAATTTAACTTTACCTTTCATTACTATTATCAATTGTTCATTCTCCATCTCTTCAATGATCCTCATATTTGCAAGTCAATGTCACACATGTTTCTCTCTTGATACATAAGCTGCCTCTTTTCTGTTTTTTGGTTTCGCATAATATGCGTTTCCACTTTTTACTCCTTTTATTGGAACTTAACACATTAGCGATGATCACTGATTTTGACCATAGATATTAATATTTATTTAGATCAGAAATACAACATACCCCTCAATCTCAGTGTATTTTCTATACTTAGTTGTTATAAGAGGACATCACCTAAATTAATTTCATTTCTTTTGGTCTTCCTAAGCCATCTCCATTTTTTGAATCTTCATTTGACCATCAAAGATTTCTATCTTGTTTGTCATATGGTTAACCGACCTAGAATGCAATAGACATACCATACTTTACATATTTATATTGCTGCTTCAATTTTTTCTCGCTATAAAGTATAATTCTTGGCATCTACGCTGATGATATTCCATGAGTCCAATATTTTTCTATTGTTGCACATATCTGTTTATTTCAACAGAATATTGTCTTTTCTAACTTACACTATTTAATTATAACTAAAGGTTATGTTAATACAAATACTTACATTCTTTTCGTGATGCAGGCACACCTGCATGGGCGCAACAATGCTTCCAATGTTTGTTTGCAGTTTTTTCTCATTTTCCATGCACTCTCCTGTTCACTTGGAGAAAAATTAACAAATCACTCAATTTCTGTAATTAATTTATGAAATTTTACAAGTGCGTTGTAAAGGCGTACCTTTGCATATTTGTCGTCTGTCATATAAAGATGTGAATGCTGATTGTCTAATTAAAACCGCTGTTTGGGCTGAATTTATCGAAGAATGTAGAAAACTTTATGATTTGATTTATTAAAATATATTAAAATATATTAGGTACACATAACCAGAGTTAGTAAACTATTCGAGCGACATCAGAGCCATTTGTGATTCTACACTCGAAGTTCGAGTTCCGCAACGAGAACATAGATGGCTCTGATATCAGTTTACTAACTCTGGTTATGTGCTCCGAATATAATTTAATAAATCAAATCGGCAGTGGAAAATTCACTAATTACTCAATATCTGTGATTAATTTATGGACTTTTATAATTGCATCGTAAAGGTATATCCTTCAAGAATTTTCCAATATACTTTTCGATATAAATTTGTTCCTAATTAATTAATTATTAATGATTATTCTACGGAGTGTTTGAATTTTTGCCGGACATAGTAATGGTTTTTCATTAATTACTATCTTTTACGCAATTAATTTATGAAACTTTATGCACTCGTTAGAAAGCCGATGTTCTTGCGAATCTTCTCATATAACTTTTGATCTCATTTTGCTTCTAGTTTCGTTTTGTATTACATATTTTCACGGAAGATCGTAATGATTGTCGTTACGAAATCATGGACGCCATCAAACAATAATTAATAATTAACTAATTCGTAACAAATTATGTACGAAAATTACACAAGAATGTTGCTCAAAGTTTCAGCTTTACAGTAAGATTATAAAAGTTTGTAAATTAATTACGGAAATTGAGTAATTTATTAATCTTTCACTCTCGGAGCCCTTCTATCTATTACTAACCGCTCTGTGTCCTTGTCTGTCATGCGACGAGCTCTTCGATGATCTCCTCGCTATTCTGTGTTCCTATTACTTTTCTAAGCTTCCGATAGGAGGAATTAACACTGTATCAACAGAGTACATTAGGGGTGTATTGAGTTTATTTATTAACAGGATTCGAACTATGTATCATATTTTGCTGCATATTTAAGATATTTTTCTTGTTATCCTTTGTTAAGTACAATACCATAAAAGAATATATAGTTGTTATTATACGTAAACCATATTTAATATTAATTTTAATAATTTATCTTTACTAATAATAGCTTTATTATTAATTAATATATTAATGATTGCTTATAATTTGTATAATATGAAAATCACTAACGAAGATTAAAACAATAAATAAATTAAATCGTAATTGTTATTGGATCAGGAATTTGATGTTAGATTGATTGACTGGTTAAAAATTTATAAATTAAACAATAAGATTATGGTTCTTATGAGAACAGCTTGAAACGTTTATTTAAATACGTATACATAAAGAAATAACTAAATACTCTACAGTATACATCTTTCCAAACAGATTTCAATTTTATATGTCCAATGAACGATGAAAATTAAGCAATGAGAGATTTTAAGAATGAGATCAAAGATCTTTTTCCGTGACACAGTGCAAGTGTGTATATTTGCAATTGAAATTTACTTCTATTTAGAAATTATAAATAAACTATATGTGAATTTTTGTGCGCATCTCCTATTCTTCTTGTTTTATTTTGTTTTCATTTAAGGTGTTTCTTGGTCCCAAGAAAATTTTGGACAACAAATAATTAAATTAAAAGACAAAAAATGTTAATATTACCGCAATTATTAAAAATAAGTATTTTCAATACTTTTGTTTAAATTATGACTGTAGAAATTAAAACTTATATTTTAACAGTGATAATTCTGTATGTACAATTTGCTTTCTAATAACAAAAATTTCTATAGCTACATATAATACAAGTATCAGTAACAAATCAAAAAAGAACACAAATCAGTCGTGAGAATTCATAATTGCAGTGAGAAATAGAATATATATATATATACGTCCTTAGTGCAGCTATAATAACTTACTAATATATCTAACAATTCTTACGATAAATGCGAGCATTGGTTTTACAATATATTGATACAGTTTAAGCCAGTGTATATAATATCAACAAACATCACATTTTGCATAAATAATGATGTCTTCTCTAACTAGGTCGAAGTCTTGCTAATAGTCTTATGACATTTATAATTGTTTGAAATATACGGCATCTAATTTTTTCTTTCTTATCTTACTAAAACAATTTTGCGTGTGATTAATATACTAAAAAACATAATTAATCAAGCAATGTTCGAAACATCTACCAAAACGATAATTGTAAAAAATATAGTATATATTGCTGTAAAATACTGCTTCAACTAGTCTCAAACCAATTAACATGAAATGAATAAACTATAAAAATATTCAACATTACATAAACGTTTGATATTATTCTGATAATCTTGTCTGATAATCTTGCACAGAAATGATCTATAAAAATAATGTAAGTAAGAAAAGTAAAGCAGGAACTCTGATTTACAAATCCTGTTACAGGTACCTTATAATGTACATACACACATATATATACACATAGAATCGAAAATGTCGATGTTTATTTGCACAATTTTCATGACGTTCCTTAGATAGGCTATCAGCTAATCTAATATCTCTAATACTATAGCTATGACCAAGAGAACCATGACCGATTGGACTGTGTAGGAGATTTGGGTAATGGCGAAGATGGCATTGAAGAAGTTGGTGTGGTTGGTGTTAACGGTTTTTCGTTGTTTTGATTCCTGAGCCGTACTTTTTCATTAGTTTCAGCTTGCATCTTCTGTTCATATTGTCGAACATCTTCCAGTGTCATGTCATACCATTCATCGATCCATGCAAATGCTTGACGATGACCCAATAATAAAATATCTCTTATACACTACAAATATAATAGTACCACTCAATAATTTTATTTATACATTTTATAGTTCAAGTAGTAAGGATTTCCATAAGTATAATTACCCTATGAATGAAATCTTCTACTCGAGTTTGCATACCCCAAACTTCAAAGGAAGCATGGACTAATTTGTAAGAACACATTATAGGTTTTGTGGTGTCTTTCCATCCTTCTACCAATGGTCCACGACCAGTTCGTTGAGATTGGAAAAATTTTGGATCCTACAGTAAAAATACTTGTAAATACTAACATTCTTACCACAAAAATTAAAACTAACAATAACAATACCTCTTCTTCCTTATAATGCTTTGCTGAAAGTTCATCATATGCAATGTCCACAAAATCGACCTCACGACTTATCAACTCAGCAGGAGATAAACCTAAACACTGTTTTAATCACAATATAAGCAACAGAATTGATTCTATTAATATAAAATATATACCCCTTTACATACATTTCTTGTGGATCCATTGTTATCTTCATATCGTGTTCTTATTGAGATATGAAATTTTGGAATAAATGAACACTGAAAAATAGAGCTTTATGTAACAAGAAATTTTAAATAAAATTAAGATATTAATACTTACAGTATATTCTTGATAGGCCATAAACAACATGAAAAAAAAAATTAGATATTGATAAATGAGACTTAATATTTATGGATTCTATTAAATAACATATTAACCATACTCTAATATACCTGTTATAGTAAAAGGATAATAATTCCATGCCTTTTCTGTAACATAGAATATTCTTGGAATGACTGACTGAATCCAATATGGTAATTTACTGAAATATAATACAAAAAATTTCAAATATCAATTTTTACAAGAGCCTAAATTTAGAGCAATAAGAGGTAACAAGATAATTACCTAGATAAATGAATTCTTTTCTCTGTGTATTGACCTTTTCCATGCTCTGGATGCTCACATCCTACATTTTTAACCACTTCAACACCTTCATCATTATCAGATTGTTCATGACTATGTCTAGCAATCATATAAAGCTGTCCTATGCGATACTACAAAAAAATAGTATTAAAAATTAAAATCCTTCATAAGCCAATTACATCAAGATTACAACTGTACTTTAATCAAAATTACGGAAAGATATTAATTGACATGTTTGGCAATTACAATATAAAATTGTAAATAAAATCTTATAAGAGTTATTTATAGAGGACATATTTATCGAAAATTATAGCTACGATAATATAAAAAACTTAAGTGGGATGAATTACCTCTTCCGTAGTAAGAGGCATGCATATACGATATTCCTTCGTTAATACCATGTCTAGAACGAAAATCCGACAATTTTCTATAATTGTATAAAATCTATACTTGCTAGTAAAACTGTAGCTTTTCCCTTAATGAATGAATATTGTATTAACAAAATTGTCATCTAAATAGTAATTTCACTAGCTCAAGGCACTGAAGCAATAAACAATTGAATAGAATGAAGTTAGTTCCATTTTCTCAAATCGATAATAAAGCTTTACATCTTATACAAACGATAATATAACTAGAAATCCTATAAACAAAAAATCCCAGGTATGCAAATTGTTAACTACAAATATTTATAAATTTTGTCTTATACAATTAATTACGTTTATATGTTAGTAACATCAAAAATGACTTTAATTAATTAACAATATTTCTTAAATAAAATTATTTAAAAAAATACAAATATTATTAAAAAAGAAATTGTTTAAGACATAATAACGGAATATTCACGTCTTTAATAACATTCTTCAGTCTGATCTGTTATAAGTATATTAAAGTGTATTACATTGAATTGTCTAATATTTAGAGTATGCCATACCATAACCTCTGTATTACTAAAATAAACATATAATGCGACCGCAAAAGTTTCGTCTTCCATGCAATACAGAAAGGTAATTGGATAAAGATAATTTATTTCCGTTAATACATAAAAAGTTGTTTAAATTCAGTAATAATTCCACTAATTTATAAATTAATAAAAAATGATCACATAATAGTCCTTTCTTGAAAGCAATTATTTAATTAATGTAAAATTAAGTAAAGGATATAAGTATTTCCTTTTTTAAATATTATTAATGATGTTTAATCATTTCTTTTTTAGTTTCTTACAAACAGATAAAAAGATAGTAGTTGTATCTGTGTTTGGAAAATCACAATATCGTGCAAAAGGATGCAAAACCAATATGCTCAGTTCCATTCTGCAAGTGGACCTCCTGGATGAACCAGAAGTGAACACGGAATCATTTGTATGAAAATCTTCAAAAACACATTGAAACCACCAAAATAATTTGCATGAAAATAATAGATTAAATTATTTCTAGTGTGAGATTGAAGGATATTATGATTCTAAGGATAGAATTATATATTTGCATTTAAGAGGATTATTAGACACACATACCCTTTTAATAGAATATGATAAGTTTGTAGAAAAACAGGACTGTAAGGATTTCCTCAGTGTATGGGCACATATGAGAGACAAGTATGCTAGAGCACTACTTGTTTTGTTTCATATATCACATGTTATTATTCTTACTCATCCAACTCACACATTTGACTACAGTTATGTACATTTATTTAGAGCCATGGATAATGTGAGGTACATATTCCTTTTCTTTTTTTTATCTAAAAGATATTGTTTGATTTTATAAATCCATTTTAATTTTTAGACAAAAGGTATCACCGCAACTTTCTGATGTTTTAAGTTGCATTTACAGCTTGCCTAAAGATTGGGTATTGAATGTTAGGCCTTGCTCTCCACGTGTTTTATTCTATTTTGAAACTTGTCCTGCTGTGTTTCAAGATACTGTCACTATGGCTAACATAAAAAAATTAGAACATTCCTTGGAAGATCAGATATACCATGTATTAAGAAAAAATCGTATAGTAACAAATATTAGGTAAAAACATATTCTGACTATGAAATTTAAAAATTGTTCAATATAATATAAAAAATATGTGCATGAATTTGTAGTTCAAATTCATTATTTGCAATTCCGGCAAATGAAGAGTTTGTTTATGTACATACGGGTATGACTGAATCCAGAGATATTTTGGGTTACATGGCAAGAAAACTCATACAGAGTTGCAAAGTTAGTTCTGGTGGCAGTACTTCAAGGAGTTTGGCTAGCCAAGATTCTAATATTCAAATAGATGATACAGAAAATGGTAAATAAATCATTGAATTGAAATTAGTTTATAGAAATAACAGCAATTTCTTATATATTTGTAGAAATTCGTTCCTTTAGATCATTTCTACAACAACATGTAAATCTGGCCTTTGTAAGGGGTTTTGATGATAATGTTGGAAGACATTCTGTACCTGCCTATTTTGAGGTCAGTTGTATAATGTATTTTAGATTCAAGATTTTCTTTTTAAGATTTAACTTTTAAGAATGTATCTATATAAGAATTTTATTTCTTTCCTTTGATTAGATACCTAGTGTTACAATGTTTTGCGAAGTGGCAAATAAAGTATATGACTACTTTATCCATGGAACAGATAAAGAACTATTAACTTTACATAGCTTGCTAGACACTGATGTGAAGTTTAGCAAGAGCAGGTGTAGTAAAGTTCTCCCACGAGCCCTCCAAGCTTACCAAGAGAACCTGCCTCAACACTATACAAGGTATAAAGTGAAGTTATTTACAATCTCCTAAAAAAATCCTGTGTAAATTAATCTTCTGATATTTATATTAGAGCATACCATGAAACAAAACTGGCTCATGCAATGGCAGTGTTTGAGATGCATGCTAGAGGTCCTTTGTTTGAAGAATTCAGTGAGAAACTGCAGGCTGAATGTGAAAAGCACTGGAGATCTGGTAGACAGATGTGCGAGGTGCTGTCTCTAACAGGAAATCCTTGTACGAACCCAATACATAGAGGCGGAAGTGAAGGTGCTGGTGGTGGGGAGCAGGCAGAACAAAGGGATAGCGACAAGTATAGTGCAGAACCAGGAAATTGGTGTGTGGAACGGCAAAGGGTCAAAACACACACTCTGATTGTTAGATCCACTTTGTCTTTAAAACTCTCAAAATTCTTAATTTTATATTTCTAGTGACATACACTAATATATTAGTAGGATAGGTTACGTCACCACAGTTTTTATCTTATATTAATTGATAACATAATATTTTAATCTATGCCTATGTAAATATTTTATATTGCCTCATATCATATTATCTCATACAGTTTTAATGTATTCTATTAGTTTCTTTCTATATGCAATGCTATTTGATCTGATTTATAAATGCGACATTTACAATTAATAATGAAAATATGAAAGCTGTCTTGAATTATATTAGAGAAAGTAGGCAGATTATGAGCAATAAATCCCGTATTCTTTCCGCACACTACATTTCAATGGAAAAATGAAATCATAATTTTCCATTATGTACATTTTATATAGTATATAATTTTAATATGGGCTATTTTATTATTCTACAGTGATTTGCCAATTAGGGAGCATTGTAGTGGCGTTCGATATATTTGTGCCTGCAATTGTGGTCGTTGTCAAGGTTCGAGAGAGGACCCTTTTAGCTTGAGGCAGGCTAATTATGATTATTTTCAAATACTGGCTAAACAATGTGGTTGCGCGCAATTAGAGAGTATACAGTTTCCAGTTTTCCAACCAAGTACACATAATTATAGGTAAATATTATTTTTCCTATTTTTTTTAGGGTTTGAATGATAGCATATTTTTATTGCAGGCCTGCACAGTTATTTTCTACCAAACGGAAAGATTCTTTCAGTCATGGAGAATCCCCAACGCCTCAAGGAAATACTCAGGCTTGTAGTTTAGGAGTTAACACTACAGATGGTACTTTTTATTCACAGTCTGCAACAACAAGTGAAACTAGTGAAGATGTTCTTAAGCTCAGCAGTAAAACTAGTCTAACACCTAGTGATGCACATAAAGTCGTCATAGAAGTATCTGATAGTGATGCAGAAAATGCAAAAGGTAATTCTCTTATACAAAACTTCATTACATTATTATATATCATAGAAGAATGTTAATATTCTTAAATCTTATAGAGAAATCTCTGGTAAGACAACCTTCAACAACAGAATATCTACCAGGAATGTTGCATACAGAATCACCAGCTGGTTTATTGCCACAGTTTTCTAGTTGGTCTCTAGTTTGTCTTGGCCCAAGTAGTTTATATTCTCATAATTTGGGTTTACAACATCAAGCTGGTGTTTTACCTACTTCTGCCTTTCTTCTACCTTGGGATGTGACTGTAAGGTAATTAAATAGAAAATATAACTTGTTTTTATCAGTAAATGGGATATTTAATTATTACCAATCAATTCTTTGTCAGATTAGAACATCAAAAAGAAAGAGGTTCTTTGTGGCCAACCATAGGTGATCATGGAACTCATGGCTACTGCCCCAGAGGAAAGAATTTCCAAAATATGAATACTATTCGCGGACGGAAATCAAAAGGTGGGAAAGAAGTAGGAGTGGAATACGAATGTCCACGAGGACATAGATTCATGGCATCTGCACCAGATAAGGTTTTGAAGGCTACTGGAAATGGGATTGTGAAAGACAGTGGAAATAAAGTTACTTCCAGTACTGTGGATATGCCACTTTATTTTCCATGCCCTTGTAGGTATGTGAATATTAAAAAAAGTATATTTATATATTATATTATTTGTTTAATATCATATTATAACACTATATAAAATATTATATAAACAAATACTAAATTAATTTTGTATTTTTTAGACAAACAAAGCCTTTAATAGCTCAGTTAATGAGAATTCACGTGGTAACGCCAAAAGCACCTGTTCACGTTACATTAAATCCTAGAGTACAACCTGGACCTCCACCTTGTCCAATTTTTGTTACTGGTTGTGACGAACCCATAAAATTATCACAAAGTGCCTATTGGGTTTTAAGATTACCGTATCCTTTAATAAGAATCTATTCTCTATGTTACATATACTTTAGTAAAATTTGAAAGAGAAAATTATAATTAAAAAATTTTTATTTTTGGAAGTTGAATTTAAAAAATAAAAGCTTTAATTATAATTTATATAAAATAATTAACATAGATTCTTGACGAAAATTTAGATATGTATACATGGATGAAAAGGGACCATATTTGGCGCCAAAAGAACCTGTACCAACATCACATGGGAGACTATTGGCGGGAATGTATGGAATTAGCGAAGTACTTCCTGAAAAGAAATAATGTAGATTTGAATTTTTTTTATTAAAAAAAAATTTATACGTAATTTGTAAATTACATCTTGTAAATATATAATGATAAATAACATACATATCATTTATTATTCCTACTTCTTGTTTTATACAATAAAATTTAGGACCTATTTTATCATATGCACAATTTTCCAAAAATAACTCCGATTTAACGAGAACAGCGTGAGGTTAGTTAAGATTAAATTACACATGACATTTGAACGTTGCTCTGTATACTAATAGTGTAAAATCGACTCTTTTTTGGATTAAGTGTGATTAGTATAGATAATTTAGAAATAACCATTACGATTTTAAAGCTGTCGAAAATAGTCTACTAAAATAATTTAGTTCTTATAGTTATTAGTTTTTAATAATGAAAATTTATGTACTGAAATTCAGTTTTTAATGCACCAAAATTTGCATTATTTAAAATAATAAAAGGATTTACTGAATTCCATATTTTATTTAATAATACAACTTAAATTTTAAAGTTGATCGTGAAAAGTGCACACTACTTAATACCTATAAATTATTCGCCAAAATGTTAATATTAATTAATGCTTGTATTTTTGATTGATTAAAATTGAGCGCAATATGTTTTAAAATCTATCAATATATTTTCGATACTATTAAAAATAAAAGAAGTGTTTACTTTTTAACAAGGTTATGAAAAAACAAATTTAGAGTACTTATAATGACGCGAATTAATCTATGGAATAATCGTTAGTTGAGAAGCATTCTGATTGGTTTATTTAAAGAATAACGCAAAGACGCAGATAAGAACGAACCTCTGATAGGTTGATATTTCAATAATGTAAAAAGATACAAACTGCTTAAATTCATACTTATTTTACAAAATTGTTAATTAAAATAATAATTTGGTAAATACTTCATTGAAGTTATTATAATAAATTTTAGTAATTTTTCAAATCGTAACGAGGTTAATCGAATATTCAAAAGTGTTTTATGAAATTTCTTTTTAAAATTTTTCCGCCGTTACACTGCAGCGCTATGGCCGTTATAAACTACAATTCCGAAGTGAAGAAATAAACACTTGTCATCAAATCTCATCTGTGATGTGATTATTTTCGTTTATCACTTACTAATAGCACAAAACTTTTGATGACATGTATGACAATAATCTATTTGTTGAACGGCAAAAGTATTTCACCGCTTTTAGGTAGTGAAGTGATCATAATAATAACGTGTATGACAAAAATTCATTACTTTTGATAACGCATTACGAAAGATATTTTTAATTTTGGCATTTTATTAAAATTTTAATCTAATTCATTCATTCTCGATATTACTTGGAAGGTAAATTCTTTTAATTTTCATTGTAGGTAACACATGCATAATAATCGTTTAAGGCAATTAGAGAAAATTGTATAGAATAATATACATGGAATTTTTTCACAATCTTTTCAGGAACATTAATACAAAATGGTGCATGCGCGTTTGTTAATTTTCTTCTGCATGTTAATAATTTTCCAAAGTGTTTCTGCCTCATTATTTGGATGGATATGGGGCAAGGATACAGATGATACCACTGTTTTAGTAGCAGATGGTGTTCCATTAATTTCAATTCCATATGAATCAATGACTAAAGATGAAAAGTTCCTTCAAGAAGCTGCAAAGTTTACAGACATTCAAGTGTCATCACCTTTACAAACTTGCCAACACAAAGTCATTATGAAAATTAAGACTTCTTGCTCTGAGATGACAGAGGAAGAACTTGCTAAATTAAGTGTTAATCTGTTGAATTGTCAATCAGCAGTAGAAGGCAGGAAAATGTTTCCATGTACTGATGAAATGGTAAAATTTAATCATCCTCTTGTACAAAATTTTTAAATTTTGATATGTATGTTATGAGTATCTAAACATTATTGTTCTATAAAATTAAAAAATGTAGACTCTTTAATTTATAATGATTTAGAATAATTAGTTTAACTAATTTAAACATGCAAATTTCAAGCACTTAATTTTATTATTCGTAGTATGCACTAAAAAAGAGCATATAGTATATACCAAATATATATCATATTTTATTATATATGAAATCACATAGGAAGGGTAATTGAGAGCATGTTCAGACTTGAAACTTCCCCCACTTAAAAAATACAGAGACCACCACTAAGGTCTCCTTAGTTTAGAGTCTCATAATATAAGGCACATTCTCAATGTACATATGAATCTGACATGATTAGTAATTGCATATACTTTAAAAAGTTAAAAGTATTTTATTTATTTATATACAGATGTAAAGCAATAAAATATATTTTTTAAAAAAAACCAATACAAACATCTTTTTTGTTAGTGTGATATAAAGTGAGCATATTTTTATTATTTTCAGACACTGAAACAATGTACCACAGAAATGGATGCAGATATGTGGAATGCATATCATTTAATGAGTAACAGAGCTAGAGCTGTTTGTTATGTAGCTCGTAGTACTCAATTTCGTGCTCTTACTGAATTGAGTGTGAATAAATTAATGCAAACTGTGCACACACAGATCAAAACACTGGGTTCCTTGCAAGTGAGTATATAAAATAATTGTATTGTATTAAAAAAAATATTTTCAGATTAAATCTTTATTGGTTTACTTTTTTTATTGACTTAAAATCTTCACTGGCTAAATATTAATTCAGGAAAGTCAAAATCGCCTCGAAGAACAGACTATAGAAGCTCTAGCATCTTTATCAGAAGGTAATAAAGCATTACTAGAGCAACAAAAGCATTTGAAAAATGCACAAGCATCAGCTCACAATCTCGTAACAACAAATCTAAGAGAATTGACTAATGAGAAAGCTTTGATTCGACTTGGACACACACAACTTGCAGCAATGGCAGATGACATCAAAAAGAAATTAGGTAGTTAACTAAATAAACCAAAATGGAAATATTTAGTAATCATTTAATTAATTAAATTTTTTGTAGAGGAAGCACATAAAAATTTGGAGCAGCAATCTATTGAACGTAATGAGAATCATCAAGAAATACTTGAGGATTTGTCTAACATTCAAGAACATGCACAATTGATTTGGAATAAAATAGAACTTAGTACAAATCGAATTTTTGCACAACACGAAGAAGCACTTGTCCACTATGAACAAACTTTAGAAAAATTAAATCAAATTAATGATACTATTCAATATATTTGGAATATAACAAACAACATGCGCGTAGAAATAGACGAAAAGCTTAATTGGTTGACTGATTACATTGGTGACACTGGTAATTAGAATTTTGAAAGATATTATTAACATTGATAATAAAAAATGACTATGATAAACAATAATTACTTAAATTTTTTTAATTTTCAGGAGAACAAATGTATCGAATGTATCGTATAAGCTTGCACATTGTTTACTTATTATTTGCTATGGTGATTGCAGCATTCCTTAATGCACCATTATTAACTAGAATCATCATTATTGGAATTGTACCATTAAACTTAATATCTTATTTAAAACATGGCATGGATGCTTGTTTAGATTTTATATCAATTAGCGTATTAATATTTTTAATTACAATCAGTATGTATTATGCAGGAAAAACAACAATTTTAACGAATACTTTTATTATAGTCTGAATATTTTCATTTCTTAGTGCATTTCTTGATGATTGGAATTCAACGTTTATGTGGTCCAGCAAATAAAAAAATGCAACCAACAGTTACTCAAATCAACAATCAAAATGGTCGTGCAAATGGTGCTGTACAAGAATATGTTTCATCTTCTTATACTAATCAATCATTACATATCTCTTTTCTATCCTTTTATCCAAAGTTGAAGAGAAGTGTCTGGAAATTTTACAGCTTCTTTACCTACCAAATAAATCGATGTATTCGTAAGTTCAAAAATTATTTATACTATATCTTTTCCATTAAGATAATTAATTATAATTTTCAGAAAAATTTAGTTCCCTGATACAGTCAGCAGCTTCATGGAGTAGATATAATTTGGTGCAACGTGAGGAACTGTCTTGTTCTTATATACCTTTAAAGAAAACTCGGGAAGACCTTATTTGCGACTACAAACAAGAGTTCCCGAGCATGTCTGAAGATGTTACTGATTTCGAGCACTCAAACTTCATGGACGAAAGAAACGAAAGTATCGATGATTTTGAAAATTTAATTGATGCCAATGATTTAAGACGAAGATTAAGGCAAGTGGAGAGTTTCAATAGTAGATCTTCTTATTCTCATCAATCACCTTCCAGGAGGTATATAAAGTTTAAAAATATTAAACAAAAATAAAATATTGAATTTTGTTAATCTTGAATTAACAAAAATAATGTTTTTGTTTAGTGTTACTCCATTACACACTACGAGAATTCTATGTAACGCTATAACAAGAAGCGGCAGAAAATGTCGGTTAAATGCAAGAAGTGGACAAAGTTTTTGTGGCAGACATTCTGCTGGGACCTCGATTATGGGTGACTGAAAAATTGTATAGACATGATAGATAGGTTGTTACATTAAGTTAACTGAAATTATCTATAATTAATTGACTATTTAAAGTGAAATGTAATATTTTTAGTCAATTAAGTCGGACAGTTACATGTTTTATCAATAGAATTTCATTGAATCTAATAATTGTCCGCGATTTTAACATTAATACCGTGCCTTAAAAAGTCGCCTTCTGCCTGTTCAATATAAGAAATATGCGTAATTTTTCTTAAAAAGGTCAAAGAAGGATATTAAAAGACAAATATGTTACCGAATGAAAGAAATTAAAGTTGTATATTTAATATTTATTATGAATTGGGGGGACTAAATAAGAATTGTATAATTTAGATAACTGATTGTTAGTGATATATTCTCCGATATATTTTATACTTATAGTTGTTTGAGGAAAACAAATTTTATAGGCAAATTGTATTAAATATGATTGTAATTTATTTTTATAAACTCTCACATTGTAAAATTAATGATAATAAAAGTATTAAAATCTATTTGTAGCTTTATTTAAAAATACTCACAAATACTAATTAAATAAAAATAATGAAGAGTCAGTAGCTTCTTTACTCACAAACCGCCATATTGTATTGTGTGCAGACTGCATTGCTTGTCTGTTCCAAAAACTTTGGACTTCTATCAAAACCAATTTCAGTTACTAAATTATGCAAATTACAATAGTTCGTGCTGTAATCGAATATCCTCAACCATTCGTTTGATACGGATTCGCCCTTTAATAAGAAAAAAAGCGGTTTTTATCAATGATCTTTTTCCATTCATTAAATAAGTGAACATACCGTTGCTAGGCAAGTTTTGTTAATTTCTTTAAAGTCAATTTTTATCGTTTCCATGGTTTTCAAATTTGCAGAAAGATGCATGGCTCTAATTACATTATTCTCATTTGGTTTTGGTTGTTTCAGCTATAAGATGAACCAAAAATAAATATGATTAAAAATTGTAATATGCGGTAATTTACTTCTAATTAACATTGTCTTTTACCGTATATAGGCATTTGCTACCATGTGGTCCACAATTCATGCAAGATGACCAATTCAGTATTTGAGATCTAAATTTCTGCATAGTATATATGCAAGGATCTCCAAATTTCCTACCATAAAAGAACCAAACTACTTTAATCCTTTCCCTTCAATACAAGACTAATGAAAAAGATTACTAAAGAGAATTGAAAAAATTACTATTTGTCTATGGAACTAGGTAAAATATATTTAACTTCAAATCAACTGTTTTATTCGAGAAAATTTATTATCGTCTTTTCGCAGCGTGGAAGTTCAAAGGGGAGCACCGAAATAACACGCGCGACGTTTCGTGGGCTTGAAAAGTGTAGCTCGTATATTTTTCAAGCGGTGTCGTCCAGCCAAAGAAAAATATACGAACCTCACCATTGCTGGCCAATATTGAGTTTCTCTATGCAGAAGATTGTGTGCAGAGTAGATGTTATTTTAAAACATTTTTCCCAAACTTTTAGGATTGCAGATAAAACATTTATACTGCTTCATTTAATACAGTAAAATTTTGCTTGAAAAGTACTAAACATAAGTGATATAATTCTGAAGACACATGGAGTATAGAACATCTATAATGAAGAAAATTTAACAAAAAAGATAATATTTTCGATGAAGTATTAGTAAATAATAATAATAATATCATTTTTCACAAATATATAAGCTTTTAAAAGTTAAAATACCATTTTATAATGCAAGAAGCATGCATAGGGTAAGGGAACACTAGGTGAATCCAAATCACACACAGGAAGAATAGCAGAAGTGCACTAATACAGTAGACAAAGCATTTGCATCTTGGAAATTTGATACATTCATCTTTAACTACCACTGGTGGTGAGCTGTCTTCTTTATTTAATTTCATCTTATTTAGACCTTGGTCTGTAAAGAAAAATTGGAATATGTACCTTTAAAAAATTTAAAACAGATGTAAAGGAATGTACATAAGAAATATCTGAATTATATTGTAAAAGAAAAATAGGACAGATGAAGAAGACCTTTTTGTTTTCTCTTTGTGGAGCCATTCTGTGAGTTCATGAACCTCTTTCTATCGACGTGTGTGTAAGGTGGTGGTCGTCTCGACATTGACCTGAGCTCCATGTATGTACGCAGTTCCGACCTTTCAGACATTTCCCTTCGACCTGACCATTACAAATCGATCATCTTTTACCAGAAAGGGGAAAAATAGTGGTCTGACAGTCCCTGAAATTTGTCAAGAAAAATGATGATATACAACTATCGTGTTTTATTCTCTAACAACTTCACTACATATTTTACTGTACAACAAAATACGAAAAAATTCCACGAATTTAAGGAAAACAAAACATTAATATCGAAATGCTATTTTTTTATAAGATTTCATACAAATAATTACATTATTATTATCATATGAAAAGGTTGCAATAACCGTATGAAATAATTAAGAGAGGAAAATTTGACTAATATCTTGTTTTTATTTTTAGTATCATTGGTATTTTTTCTCAATATGTTTTTAATATTATAAAGGAAACTTAACATGTAGTTTAATATTTCATTGAAAGATTTGCATCAAACCAATTTGAAGTACTGCATTGATTTGTAAACACCATTGAAGGCCTGAACTTCCCACGAATGTAGATTGAATAATTTTTTCCAGTCTTTTTTTACCATGTCCGCTGACGCGTACTCGGTGTTCCTAATGAATACTATCTACCAAGATACGACCCATAAATGTACTCGTCCCGGCTACTACTTCCTTTTCTTTTTTTCTACTCGATTTCACTTCTTACATCCAGAGAATAACCTTGTTATAAATTTATCAAATATCTTCTTCGCGTTCTAACGTTATCATTTATAAGTACAGCATTAAAAAATATTCTTATTGACTCAAATTCAATGGTGTTTACAATTTTCCAATATTTTTACTTGTAATTTAATTAACTTCTTATATACTTAAAGATTTCGATTTAAGTCGGAACTTTCTTAGAGTGTACGAGAAGAAATGGGATCACAGCCATGTCTGACAATATGATATGCTTCGATGTTCTCTAACATCGGTACAAATGTATTTCCTAGAACCCAACACTGTCGGGGGATTCCGCTAGTTCCGATTCGAATTAGTAAATTAGTCGAAAATGGTGCCTCAGTGTGGATGTTAACGAAAATGAAGCGGAAGAAATCTGATGGACAGATGGATGATCCAATGACGTCGCGATGTTACCTTTGAAAAAAAAATGTTGGTTAGAATGGGAATTAGACATTGAAATTACTTTTTTTTTAAATAAATTTAATTGTTTTCTATCACAAATTTAAAAAAATATATCTAGTAAATTTTATAATCATCCAAACGTAGATTTAGGAGCTTAATACTTTAACATATACATACCTCATTGACTTATCGAGTTATTGATTTGTATTAACTTATCTGGTTACTTGTTCGATGCTATTCAATCAAAACAACAGCTTTTATATTATAAATTAGCCATATTGGGGGTCAGTTGATAAAATAGCAATTGTAGAAATGAAACAGCGACCTGGTGATACTTTTCTCTCAAAATGAGGGTTGATACAAGGAGAAGAAATTTGTTTGTACGAACCTGAACAGCGAGAAACGACAGATCAACGAGCCATGGTTTGACTTATGGCTGATTGTTCGAGGGTAGAGAAGAGAAGCAGAAGAAAAGATAGCGACTTCTGCGAATGTGGGTCAGTAGAGAGGAATGAATGCGCACAGTGTTTCCTGTTTACTGACTTCTACCAACACTGTCCCATACGAGTGTATTGTAAATTAAAACGTCCTTGATAAGTGCTCCTCTGCAAAAAATCTGCGCATGAGGTGGCTCCACCACTTCTTCTGAAAATGAAAACTTGTCTGAGCACTCATGTTAGTTTACTCTTGTTATCGAGTATTTAATAGTAATCTTAATACCAAATGTAATTGCAAATTTGAAAAAAGAATGGAGCAATTTGACTATTGTTTCAAATATAATTTTTAGAACGCTCTTATAAAGTGTAAAAAGAAGAGACTGAGGGGCAACAAGTGAGGAGAATCGTGTGAACCGGATCTTACAGTGGTGGCAGCTGTCGAGGGGACACGTCGACGACTTCTCTCCTCTCACACAGAAACGTTGCATAAAAAGAAACTTACAGTGGGTTAGAACGTAAGCAAAGATGGAGTACTGGAGAAATGGAAACCAATGGAATTTCTCGATATCTGAAATTAGATACTGTATTAACAAAATATAACACACTATGTAGCTAAATATATTTTAACAATGTTTCGAATTTAAGTTATATACTTTTGAATCATTTTCTAAATAAATAAGAAAGAATTTAAAAAGTAGTTACGATTTTACTTTGAGATGATTGGTGAAACAAAATTGAGGCGGAAGGTAGAAAAAGGAGGTTCTTACCAGCTCTCCTAAGAAATGTATAATTCGAACCGCCTGTCGGCAACTAATTTCCTGTTTGGAGGGCGGTTCTACAGAATTGGAACGATTTTCTGACAAAGATCTGCCCGACTACATTCACTGCATAATTAAAATCTATTTCTAATATACGTATTTAAAAATTTATTAGAAAATCGATCCATTAAAAGAGAAATTTATCTTAAGAAATATTAAAAAATGCTTGAAAAATTTGATCAAACCATATGTTTATCAACGAAATGATTATTGTTAACTATTATATTGTTAACTTTTATAGTAAATCCAATTTTCTTCTTCGAAAAATTCAGGGAACCATTTCTTCTATTTTAGATGATCACTTTACTCTCGTTTTACTTCAAAAGCGACAATCTTTTTTTCGGTTAAGGAAATGAGGTTCAAAAAGACTAACGATCTCCTCGAACGATAATGTAATGGGTCCACTTCTCTATTAAAACTAGAGGACCGATGTCTTCTCTTTGATTCCTCAGGCATTCTGCCTCAACAGCTGCACAGGAGAGGATTTCCAAGCTTCCTCCAACACTAGTAACAATTCAGAACTCTTCGCACTTCCTTCCTTCAATTTTAAAATTGTGAAGGTACCATAACTGAAAAGAAGAAATATAATTTTTCATTAAAAATGATTAACTTTTGTTATTGTTTATTTAAAAAAAAGAAGATACCATTCCTTCTTCAGTGTAATAGTAGTTTGAACGTATCTAGAGTAGAAGAGATCTCGGATCAAAAATCGAAGAATATTAAAACTGAAGTCTTGGATGAAGTTACTTCTTTGGAGAAGAAAATTTCGTAGATAAATCAACGAGATATTTCCATGGTAGAAGACAAAGAGAAACAGGAAGAAGAATGAATTCCACGGATCCCTTATCGATATCTTCTTCTTGTCGAGTCGCAGACCAGCCCTATTTTCGACTCGACTCTCCACTATTTGCGCATATAAATATTTTATGAGGGCCAGGAAAAAACTCTATTTTCGTGCAGGCAACCCTATCGCCATCGTTCACAAGGAGAGATTTATGGAGAACGGAAGGCGATTATTATCTTCAGCCAACTTTCTCCCTTTCGACAATGAAACGTATTTTTACCATTTAAAAACAATTTTTCCCAATATTTTTCACCCCAAAATATTTCACTACGTTTATCCTTGACAATAAAATGCGTAAAATATAGCCAACGTTTACCTTTCAGTATTACGACGGAGAAGTGTACGAACGGATTAATTTAAGTATCACACCGAGGAGACCACAAGTGTGTTTACCTGGAATGAAATAAAATACGATTAATCTTCTACTTGCGTAAATATATGCGAAGGGTGTGTATTTATTTTGAGTATAAAGTTAAAAAGGTTACAAGAAAATCGGACAGTGTCGGTGCAGTAACACGTTTCGAATTTCGAAGGCCATAACTCTTTTTAATGGTAAGGGAAATGAATCACGAAACGGTAAAAATAGCGGAAACGTGTCGAATTATATTGCACCGGAGTCCAGCAAATAAATGTCTCCGCGAATTAAAAATTGCTACGAACGTTCAAACCTCTATAATAGCGATTTACGCGCAGTCTCTTCATTTTTCAAGCGTGCACTACGATACAGGGTCTCTCACTCTGGCGTTATTTGACAACTCATTTTGATCTTTTAACGAAATTATGACCTGACTTATCACATCGCAAGAACTTCTAAGCGAATCTTTTCGAAAAGAATCTGCATCGTCAGATCTCAAAGAAAAATAACAATATCTCATTTTTTAATAATTCTTCCAAGTTAAATAATAATTGACAATTAATTAGTTAAATCGTAATAGCTTATTAATTTCAGTATTCTTCTTTTCGATTTTAATTCCTATTATTTGAAGACTTATTAAAGAGTCAATCTTTAGACATTTTTTGTTAAAAATTGTGAGGCTTGAGAGGCACTGAGGCCCGTGTAAACCTCGTATCGTCAATGTTCCGAGGTTCCTGGAAGGAATCGCGGGATTTATGCTCGCTAACCAAAAGTATCCCGGCTAATTACCTCGGGGACGAAGATTTATGAAATTTTTCCCACCGAACTGCAGTAATAATTAAAATAGATCGGAACGTGTAAATTACAAGAACGCCACCTCCGCCGATGGATGGAATTTACTGGGGCGATACCGCGAAATCGTGGCCTCACAATACCAGGCCGTGTAGGCGCCAAGGAAAACTCGTTCGTTTTCGTACGGAGCAAAAAGACACCGGGAATTATTCCGGTGAAGTGTATAGTGCCGTGTAAACACATTTTCGAAGGCGAATGGGAGTTCCGCCGCGCTCTCCTGGTTTATTTCAGAACGGTGGAATGGTTTCTGATAGTGGAGATTGTTGGTCTAGTTGAAGTCTAAAGAAGAAGAAATATTTCAGCTGGAATTTGCCAATGAAGAAACCGAAATCGTTAGTGGATAATTTATTAAAATTACAAGAGAAATATTCAATTGCAAGAAGAGATGGAATTGTTAGATGGTTTTGTTAGAACAAGAAGAAAACTGAGAAGAAAAGTACTCGTAAACTTACGTTTGTCATTGAAGAAGCAGAAGAAGAAACTAAGCAGAGAAAAGGAGATAAAAATAGTATACTTTCACTTTGAAATCGGAATCCTTCACTAATACCAATTCTATGTCTTCCTATCAAGATTGAGAATGCAGAAAGAAGACTCCTCGAAGGTAGATAGTGAAAACCCAAATCCCTGAAAGAAGAAGAAAACTAATTAATGCTTCTTTACATTTTTCTAGTCAATTTTCTTCTTGTAAGTGCAAGAAAATTCACATCATACCTTTCTGTATACGAAAATATTAACAATCAGCTATCCTTATCGGAAGGCAAGAGCTTACCATTCAACTAATTTCTTCGGTACGGATTTTAATTAGACTCGAGGCGAGGTCGTCACGGATCCGAAAAAGATAAATTAGGACGAGTCGACAGCAGGGTTTGAGAACCTGAATAATTTACGATTGGTGTCGCGGGGGCGTTAGACACCCTGGGGAATTCTATAGGCCACCCTTACCGGAAGCACGCTGTGAAATCGAAGGCGTCTGCGCTTTGGTGCTTTCTCGTTCGAAGGCGCCGCCCATCTGCGACTGCGTATCGTCGGTTTCATGAAAAGAATGGGGGGAAATGGGGAGGGAAGGGCAACCCTCCACCGTGGCATTCATTATTGAATTGCAAAGGGTGGGTTATCTTCGTTGATTGGATGTCATTGCTGTTCTGTCATTCCATTGGTGTAGTGTATGTCAGCATAATCGATTGTCTGAAATCTCTTTGCAAACCGACTTTTCTAAGGTTTCAACATTTGATACTTATTCAGTACTTATCTTCTATTTGTTTGCCAATTTAAGAAACATGGTAAACTTTGATAGATCTTAAAATTTGAATTCCAGTAAAAATGATGTAACATTTATGAACATAAACTTACAATTCACTTAGAACAAGAGAAACTAGCATTGGTGCACAAGATTAAGCAACACGAGAACTCCATTTACAAAATGTCAATAACTTAACTTACAAATTAAAAGGATGAATCAATTCAAGTCAAAGAAGCCGCTTTCAACCATGAAAAAAGGAAAAACAAGATTTCTAAAAGCGTTACGTAAAAAAGGGTCCTCCTTGGTTAAAGTGGGGTGTGCCACCCTGTGTAAGTAAAAGGGGTTGGTCCTCCAGAATAAGGCCCCTTTTTATTTGGACACCGCGATGGTCGCGCGATGAGTTTTCTCGAGGTATAAATCAACAGCCTAGGAAAAACACACGACGAGAGTCGTTCAAGGCTGATATATGAACACGTGATTCATTAACTGCTACTGATGAAGTATGTGTTAATGAAGAGAATCCTCTTCTTAGTCGTCGTTCCACCCCCTAGTTTAAACGGTGTTTTCTCTATGAAACCACGTGGTTGGAGCGATATCTACGAAGAATTAATATAGGTAAAGTGATTTTAAGTTAATGCGAACCATCACGTTATGTTTGTTCTTTAAACAACAAAAATAACCTATACGACATTTTAAGGTTAAGTTCTATTATATTTTTATCTCATAATTCATACTTACGCTTAATTATATTATTGTATTCGTCAAAAATTGCTTGATAGAATCAAGTATAGAAAATAAACATGATTCCTTACGAAGTGCAAAATACAAATTTGTACGCAGTTAGATTAATGATCCAGCGTCATTCATTCAG